ATGACAAATCAGGTGGTAAAGCTATTTACCATCATCTTATAAAAATTAAATGCAACAAAGTGGCAATGGCTTTTTTGTATGCTAACTGTAGCAGGCTTTCAATTTATAAATTAAAAGATCACACACAGTGCAACCATCCTGTTGCTAATTTTACCAACTTAGAAAAATGGGCTCAAACACTACCTTCATTCTGGTTGGGAAGTTAACTAACTATCCCATGGTGGTAACCTGTGTGAGTAAAATCAATGCCAGTGAAGCTATGTGCTGTAATGTTGAAAGTTCTCCTATCAATGTGCTGTGCAACGTGGTTTGACTGGACATGTGACCACTAAATTTATGAGCTGTTAATCACATAGCTACATATCTACATTCTAGCCTTAGTAGTGAAAATGTATGCACACATGCAAGCAAATGCTCTTCACAACCAAATGCGCATTTTCCCACACCATGTATTGGGCAATTGTGCAAGAAGTAACAACACTGTGCTCCGACTTCAAGCCTGCCCATCAGTGTATAAACCAACTTAGCTAGCAAACTTTGTCCTCTGCACCAACACGTAGGAATGTATTTTGGCGCAGCATCGGCGTCTTCATCAGGGTTACAAACTTTGCACAAAACCTGACCACTTTTTACACATGCATTTGCCGCAATGACAGCTCCAGGGGAGTAGATCCACAGCCTGGTCCCTCTGGGAGCGGAGCAGGTGCAGTGCTGCACGAGAGTCGGCCGCAGAAGGCGGTGCAGTGGGCTCCAACAAATATGCCGTACAGTCGACGTTGGTGCCGGGAGGCTTCACAGCGCTTCTTGCAGGAGACGGAAAGGCAGCAGCAGCTCGAGGGAGCTAATCTTCTGCTGGAGAAGGAAAGCACAGAAAGGGTTAAGCAAGCTGCCACGGCAACAATTGCAGCAGCAACTGCTGCCGGGGAGTTCTACCAGCAGTCAAAAAAATACTAGAGGACCAAAAAAATTGAATTCGACTGGAAACACAGCTTGCAGAATTGGAAATCAAATTATTAAAAAAACAATTAGGAGAAGAGTAAACATTGACATATTACGCTGTTTTTAATTTTCATTTTGAATGTATATATATATATGACAAAGCCAACACAGCTGCTGATAAATAGAATCCATTTTACTTGCAACTGTATATTTATGGATTCAGATCTGCTACACTCCGTCTCGTCCTACGATGGACTAAAGCCCAATGCTACACGCCGCCGGGTCCAATCACGAGCCTGATTGAAACCATGTGGTATATATGCTCCGTCAAACATATCAGTGCGCCAAGACGTGTCACGCGAAGACAAGTTTTTCATCTGCTTATCGAGAACTAACGGCGGCTCCGCGTGCTTGCAGGGTTTTTGCTCTAGTTCCTTGTCACAGCACGAATAGTTGCGACGCTCAAGGAATCTCGACTGCTGATCCATTTCAGTGTGCTTTGTCCGTACCACCGTCAGCCTCGTACGCGCCTCGGTTGCCGCTAAGACTAAAAGCCTGCCTTGCATGTACTCATCGGAAGATCATCTGGCTAATTTTATCATTTGCCTAATTTATCTTCGTATCTCCCTGAACCATAGCCTACGATATTCGTGTTCCCGCTGCGCCGGGTAATCGGCAGCAGTAGTCAAGCGTAATATGTGGGGACGGCGTGGGTGAAAATTCCACTCTCTTCCAACCAAACGCAGTAGCAACATTTGGTATTCCAAAGTTTGATCAATTAAAAACGAGCTGCATCAGTGTTGCCGCACTGCCACTTCGATTTTTCCCTCCCCTTTTTTTCCCACAACACCATTTTGGTGACAGAAGTCGTTTTTAAGATACGCATGACACCAAGTATATTTAAATGCAGCAACGCCTCGCTATGTTTTCGTTTTGTAGAAGTTTGCATCGCATAAATTACGAAATGTAGATGTTGACATTCGGCAAACTGGTCTCCCCTCCCCTTCTTTTCCACACTATACATTGGTTGAATGAACCCGGGGACATAAATGAAGGCAAGGGGGCCATTAACTAAACTAAACTGAAATCACCTGCTCGTTTTCGTGATGTAAAAGAGACCACACCCACTGCAATCCATGCACTGACAGAGGACGTTTGTGCGTAGCTAGCGGCGAGGAAAGCGCGCGAAGCGGCAGTACTGTACCGACAGGCTTGCACCACTCACATGATGTAAGTCGTGATGAATTAGATTGGCTCTTCAAAACAGCAAACTGTGTGAGTAGCTAGTGCCACTCCCTTTCTCATGTTTGATGTAGATAAAAAATTACGAAATTTAGGGGCAGTTTGTTTATTCAAAAATATTTCCCACGTTTTACATGTGTTTAAGTTCTCGTTTCCCTTTTTCCCTAGCTGTCATGCTTTTTCCCACAATATGGAAAATTCCCACGATTCGGCAACACTGAGCTGCATGAGCTAAACACAGTACTTGAAGACGTGTGACGGCCAGTGCGCCGTCTTTACGTGATGCACCTCAATTTCCCGTAGACGTGGGGACGCTGTCCTCGTGCAATTTCACCTCGCTTTGGCAGTGCCGAACCTTGAGTTGGGTTCCTAAAAGGTCACATTCGTTTATTCATTCACTTCCCGTACAAAGTTGGTTCTCGTGAGCGTTTACATTCCCCCAAAGCACGCTCTCATTGCTGTTTAAAACATCCACCGATAAGATTTCTGGACAATCCTTCACACAGTAGACACAAGGTGACATTACAAGCTACAAAAATCAATAAACTGCCAACTGGAGGCAATGGAACCTCCGCTTGAGCTGGCCTATCGTCTTGCACAGTGTATAAATAAAGCAAGATCTGTTATCCTTTTGAAGTGGTTTATAAGAACATCTAATGAGGTCGGCATGCGATGTCTATCATCGCTCCAGCCCATTAAAAACATGGTATTATGCCTAATATTTTATATTTTTGTTGGAATATTTTAACATAATAATTTCAGTGATGTGATTGGTCTGAGTCATTTTGGAGCAGCTCTTGGAGGAGTCAAAATCAATTATGGTGCAACATAAGAACTTCTGTAGCATAAGCGCACATTCATTTTTGTTCATACCTATGCAAACATCACGTCAAGATTAATTTGTCGGCCTGTCCAACTAAAGGGCAAAGTCTACATTGCCTTCTCACATACGTTCAAACCTTTGTTAGCCTCAACTGCGCAGCAGGAGTCCCTCAAACACAAAACTATAGCGTTCAGTTGCGTGGAGAAGCATCATGACAGGGTAAAAAGAAGGTGAGTGATGAAGTACAGCACAAACTCCTTTAAATGGTTATTTTAGGTACTGAATGCCACTAAATTAGCACAATAATATTGGTCACATAAACTGATGTTTCCTTGAAGTTCTAGAGGTTGTAATAAAGCTGCAATTTATAAATGAGATAAAAAAACAAAGCATTTATCATTTGATTATCAACATAAATTACATTTTATCTGTAGAACTTCATAGCAAAAACGGCATGTGAACGAAACTTAAAAACAAACCCGCCGTAACTCATTCAGGTTCTTGAGATTTCATCCACTGCTCCAGTCACTTTAGTTCTAATCTACTCACACCTATAGAAAATTGATAGCTAAACTAATGAGTTGGCATAAATAAATAAACATACATAAGAGTACATATAAATGTTCTTGCAATACCAAAACAACCCTTACTAAATCTTGAAATCGAAAAAGGTACCACCAGGATCTCGTAATCTATCACATTTACGAGCCGAAGTTGTGTTCAGGAATTTTGTTGCGTCTCACTTTGGAGGAGAGCTTTCTCCTTAACACAGGGTGCGCTGCAGAGAAGCAAGACATGCAAAGTTGCGATGCCTACTCCGTGGTGTTTGCTTCTCTGCAGTACACCAGTGCGTGGTGAGAGCCGCATTCAACAACACTATAGTCCGCTGCAACCTAAGAACCAAGGGCGAGGGTAAGACGGGTTGGGGAGGAGGAAGCAGGCGGAACGCTAAAGAGAGAAGGAGGTTTCCCCCTCTCTTCTCCAGCATTCCGTTTGCTTCCTCCTCCCCGGCCCGTCTTACCCTCGCCCTTCGTTCTTAGGTTGCAACGGACTATAGCTAAACCTCCAGAATGAACAGACGACTAACATGAAATTTATTGCGAAACTTCCGGATATTGCGCGTCATTCATATGAAATGTGATGGAATAGTATGGTATATGAGATGATTATCAAAAGTTTTGAAAACCTGAAAACTTGCGTAACCATATCGTAACGGTCCGGCCGGGCAGCGAAGCCTGAGCTATTATATTTTCAGTATTATTAAAATGAAATTAAGTTTTGGTGCTACATTGGTGCAAATTCCTCACATTTTTCTTAAATGTAGCAGGACGTAGCAGGGTAATCACTTTGGCGCAAATGGCGCAGCAATCCCATCACAGATTCAATGAAAATGTTCTTCGCAAAAACTTGCAAGAAAAATGCAGTTTGAGATAAGCAGTATTTAATAATATATGCTTGAATAAGTCTGTACACAAACTGTCTAAAGATAAAACCTGCCTAAGCTAGTGTATGTTTTTTTTTCACATTGCAAGCTATGATTTTTTTCTAAGAATTGCTTTACATTTAGGCAATATAGAGTAACAAAAAGAATTAACTGCTATTGCTTGAAAAGTATAAACAGCTAGTAAAAACTTCTAGGTTAATAAACCCAGTCATACATGAAGGATATGTTTCAGAGAAGTTGTAACTTCTACTCTGGAGTTTAAACAGAAAAAAGCAAATGGAACATAACACTTAATGTGACATGTAGAGTTAACTGGCTAATGGTTGAATTTTGTGATGTTCTTCATTCCCACAATGCTGGCTAACCTTAGAATAAACATAAGGTGTAGTAGAGATACGCCTTCCTCTCCTTGCTTCTGAGCAGCCGTAGCCTACTACGCAAGAACACAAAAATGGCAACAAATGTAAAGCTCAGGCACAACCACATAAAAAAGTTTAGGTGCCTCAAGGTACCGAAACACTGAACCGTCGAACCAGGACGCATAGCTTGGCTTTACCGTTCCACGATGCTCCTCGTTGTGCTATGCGACGCATTGTAGGCGACCTCCGCTGCTGATGACAAAGACAGGAAGGGCGTCATCAGCCATGGCTTGCAGGTGTAGCCGCTGTCTCCAAGCAGTAGGCCCTCGTAAACTCCATTGGCCAGCTTGCCTGACAACGAGCCCTCGGTGAATACCCTAGAGTCGTGGGTGCTTCTAGGCCATTTTGCAACCACATTGCGGATACGGTAACAGACGTCAACCACTAACTGTACATTTATTGAATGGTACAGATGGCGGTTAACGTACACCTCCTCATGCACTTGTGGTGCCTGTATTCGAATGTGAGTGCTATCAACAGCACCCACGACCGAAGGAAACCCACCGATTTCAAAGAAGGCCTTAGCTTCACCTGGCCACCTGCATTGTAGATGGATTTGAGTCAGTCTGTAACACTATGACATTAACAGTGATGGTTTTGTTGTTATGATCACATGCTTCAAAATAACACAACTATCATTCATCGTCATCAATAGTGAGCATTAAAAGCCTCGTCTGCACAATGACAGTACTCAGTAGCCGCAAGACTAGCTCAGTAGCAACAAGTGCATAGCTGGGAGTGCAGAAACCAGGCTGTTTGTAAATGTCTGCACTCCTACTTTATTTGTAGTTTAGTTGAATTTGCACCTGCACCAATAATAGGTACTAAGGGAGTCATTTTGTACACTCCAGTTGGTTCCTGTAATTTTACTGCCCAGCTCACTGGTCTGCATGTCACGCTCATTACCAAAGAACAAACATCGAGTGCTGAAGCAACACTTTTAATGTTCCTTTAAGGAGGTACCAGTATACGTGGGGATCGATGCGCTGGCAGATATTCAGGCTAGCAAGCCTACAGCTTAGGAAACAAAAACGAAAGGGTCATTGCGCAGGTGGTGCACCGTAAATACATTGCAGAATAGGTGTGCTGAGAAGACCACCTTCAACGAATTCGGGGGTGTCACCGAACACAATTCACGCACCGAAATTTCTATGCAAAGGGTTTCTGAAATAATGGTGATTGCTCACCGAGCAATCTAGGCCCAGGCTTTTTTTCTCGGAAAACTGGCCTGCACATGCGCCTAGTATCGGGACGCACCAGAGATGCTCCAGACCACTTACCCTATGAAGTCTCGGGCACGACGTGCCAAGGCCTGAGTCACCCGCCTCACAGTCCGCGAACCAGTGGAGACGTGCGCACAGATGTAGTCCCCTGCGGCGATGAGGAAGTTCCCCGTGGCGTAGAACTGTAGGGCGACAACGACCTGCTGCTCTGCAGAGAGGGCGCGGCTGCGACGCGTCGGCCCCTCCAAGTCCGGGCGCACTGTGTCGGCGAGGAACACAATGCCCGCGCGACCGAATCGAAAGTGCTCCTGCAGTTCGTCCTCGTCGAACTCGTCCAAAGGGTTCAAGCAGTCACGGAACACACGCTGCCGTCCCATCATCACAACAGCGTACTGGGCGAACACGCGCTCTCTTCGTTGTCGGCGTCGCGTCACAGTCGACATTGCGTCCCTTATCTTCACCAATCCGTCCGTAAATCAGTTGTCAGTCAGTCCGGTAGTCAGTCGGCGGTCGAAACGGAGGGTCGGTTGGGCAAACGGTAGAGAAGACAAAGAGTGAAAATCAGGTGATAACTAAAGCGCGGGAAACGTGCGTCGCAAAACACGGAGGTCAAAACAACAAAAACAATGAATCTATAAAGACTGTTGCCAGATCCGAAATCAACGCTGCAAACCTATGCTGTGTTTGGCGGCACAACAGATGCATCAAGATATTTATTATTTTTTTAAAGTAATATATATTTTCATGCATAAAAAATACACTGTGATAAGATATTGTTTTTATTTTTCTTAATAAAGACAAAACTAGCGAAAAGGTTTCTTAAAAGGCTATTTGTTTGCTTCGACCGGAAGGTCCCGGGAGCTACCGCATAATAATAAAACACGGAGAAATTGTGCATTGAGTTTTTGTCGAACGCGGCTAGGTACTCGGATGTACCTAGGTAGGGAAACGCGGTTAACTTTTAACCGCGGTTAGAGTTAACCAGCTTCGAGCAAACGGGACCAGGGGGTGAACAGGTGCAAGGCGCGGGCCCGAGACTCGGTTTGGTTGCCCCATGTCGGACAGCAGATCGAGGCCATGGTGCAAACGTGCGAACGCTGTGCATCTACCAGGACGCAAAGAGCGAAACCCCTGCTGCCAACGCCTCCGGTGGACATACCATGGAAACAGGTGGGAGCGGATCTGTTTCATCTGGACGGGCAGGATTTTCTTCTTCTTGTGGACTACCACTCTCGTTACCCAGAAGTTGTAACACTGGGAAGTACATCAAGCCAGGCTGTGATTGCAGCGGTCAAGAGTTCCATGGCTCGCTTCGGTATACCGAAAGTACTAAGAAGTGACAACGGGCCACAGTTTTCTGTGGCCCGTTGTCACAGAAATGCCCCCCCCCCCCCCTGGATGACACCAAGGGGGGCACGAGCCCCGATGTCCCCCTGTAGTCCACGCCTATGACTGAGAGTACCACAGATTTTGCTGCTCGACCGGAGGGGGGCATTTCAACTCTCATCTCTGGGTAGCCTATACTAACACTGCAAAAAGGGTAGTTAACCTTAAAGCTCGGTGGTATGGTGGCCTGAATGGCGACCCTGCTCGGCCACCAAATACAGTTCTTTGTCCTGGCACAGAGGGTTTCTAGTGTTCGCGTAAACATTCGTGTGGCAGTCCTGTGGTCCACAGTGAACAGAACCCACAAACATGAAAATGGCATATTGTGTTTGAGCTTAGTTAAAAACAGCAAAAGCCGATTCTCGGCCGAGAGCTCAATCTGCCTTCTTGGGACATGTGGAAGCAAGCTTGAAAGGAGAGCAAATAAAGGGAAAGATGTGGCACTGAAGCTTTCCAGCCTCGCCTCTGCATCCCGAACCGAGTTGTAGCCCATGAAACAGGGCTCTATGTGGGCTGGTCCCACTTCCTTGTCCACGACTGCTGGTTTGTCCGGCCCTCTTCCTTGGTCCAGCACCGCCCTGTGGCTGACAAAGGTTGCAGCCTTTTTTCACACGGTGCAACAAAAGAACATGCTGCACAGTGAGAAATCTGTCCCTTTGTCATTAGTCATGGTGCAAGCCTGCAAAAATATATAAGAATATATTTTAGATTAAATCAAACAGTTCATTTCTATGTAATATTTGTCGGCTTCTCAGACGCATATAAAAGTTCTAAATTTGTTGACCTTCTTATCCAATTGCATTAGAGAGAAAGATAATATTTTAGAGGGCTAAGTTTTAAGTGATCAGGAGCATCTGGCATGCCGCAGCGCAAATTTACGAAATAATTCAGCACCTGTACAAGATCTCTAAGGTACAAAGAATTACCTCGGTTGAGCAGTCGCAGAAATGCAATTACCCTCTTTTAGACGACAGACACCGTGGCCGTATTAAAAAATACACTGCGATTGCAATGGCACCGGGCTGCACTTGCCGAGTTCGTTTGGGACTGGTTCTCCTTGTTGCCTTCGGTAAGTGCAATGCATATTGGGAGAAAGCTAACGCAGAGCCAGTATGTGTTAAACGAGCTCGCTATCAAACAAGAAAGCATCGTGAGTTTAAAATCTTTGGTTTTGGGACGTCATGGCTCCCAGCAATAAATATTTATACCGGTCACATAGCAATGACCGATATCCAGAGCACCGCCATTTTAACGTGGTGTTGCTAGGGGCGCCATAATCATTAGTAAAAAAAAAGGTAGTCGAAGAATTGCCACTTTAAAGTCCTGCTTTCGTCGACTGTTAAAGGAGAAAGTTGGGGTCGCTCCGTTGGCTGCTCCGTGGTCGCGTCACCCTCAGGTCCACTTGTCGCTGGTGCTGCAACAACGTGCGCGTCCCTCTTCCTGAAAAGACGGGTTTATCCCTCAGTAGTAGTGTGTACTCTGTTCGTAGATATACTGGGTGATTTCAGATAAGATCGAAGAGGGGGTGGCTGGTCGACCTTTTTAATTTGCTCCATAATTTTATATGTCATTTTCCGATGTCCAAAATAAACGAAATCAAAATTATTTTCACCAAGAAAAAAAATTGTGGGACGCGAAAAATTGTACATCACGTAGAGGTGGAATGTAGCATCAGCTTGCATAGCTGGAGGGGCAACTTTGGTGATTAATAACTAAAGTTATACTTCTTAGGTCAATTTCATATTGTTTTAACACAATCTATATGTACTTAGCAATACGAAAAAGAATATTATTATTCTTTAGTATGTTTTAACAAATAAATAAAAAAACATAAATTTCGGCTCCTTGACCGTTTTCCCCCCAACTTTGCAGGCCTGTATCGTAGGAAATAATTTAGTCAGAAACGTCATATTTTAAGTAAATACACTACTTATAAATGGAAGTACGTTCAGTAAAATTCAAATTTATTTAAGCGCGGGTCGGGGAGATTTCGGCAAGCAAACACGAGACAAGCACCAAAATAAAAATATTTTAAGGGCGATTAGAAAAAAAAAATCCCGTTCTTGATTTTTTTAAACTCTGACCAGTCATTCTACTCTATATGGGGGTTAATATCAATTGAAAACATGTTGCATTATATTGATGGTGTAATAGATACAGCACCTCTACCGAGCCCCTTCCGCGAAGCGCGGCACGGTGTACCCCTGTGGTGCGACGCAGTTATTGCGATTTCTTACTTTGAGAGAAAAGTATATTTTTATTCGTTCGAGTATTGCAAGTCACATCTTTGGCACGTTATAATAAATTGAGCATTAAATATAATAAATTGCATATCATATACAACACACTTCTCCCTTCATAGGTTTGAAAATTTACAGAATTCGACGCAAACATTTTCTGACGGTGTGCACTTTTCCAAGGGTTTTTTCCAAGGAGTTTTTTCCAAGGGGACCCGACAGTCCGTGCCACTTCCAAGTCACAGGTCGAAGCTTCTGATGTTTTGCATAGCCACACACGCCACGACTGAACACCAGGAAAGGCGCGCACTGCCACCCACTCTTCATTTTTGCGTTCACGGAATTCAACAACCTCGTATTCGACCAAAATTGTGAAATTCACTCCTTTTAGTTTTTGGGAAAGACTGTTCACCAAGCATTTTGCAGACTGTATGGCCTATCCTGGGAGCTGTCTCAAGGTGTGAAGCGTTGCTTGGTGTTTGACAAGTCCTCCAACTCCATCCCACGCGTTTTTCCCGTGCCCAGTGGCATTTGGGCCTCGGGAAAAACTTTTTTTTTTTGGAATTCATGAAGTTGGAAGCGATTCTTGAAGTGACTGGCGGCACCGTCACTTAATGAAGTTAAATAAGAGTACATAGCAAGGTTGTCATGGACCTATCTCTCACTTTTTGTACAGCCAGACAGGCATGAGCGGAGTCATGATGCAAGCCGTCACTGATGACGGCAAAAGTGTATGTCGACTTTCTAGTCGTCAATACACACGTAAATATTGAGACCTGAGTTTTTCTTCCAGTGGCACGCTTGAATCTCGTCAAGAAGGATAACATTTCAGTTTTCAGCAAAGTCGATGTGGAAGACAATGCTACCACGCTGCGCGCACTGCTTTTCTTCATAGATGACTTTGCCTTGCGTCTGTCTGATATGGTTGTGAATGATCCACCTTGAGACCGACACACGAAGCTCTTCCAGAAAAGTGACCGGATCTAAAGTCTTTTTCACGAGCTCACCCGACTCCCATGCTGCCGAAACTATCTCTTCATCCTCGGAAATGTTGAGTTTTTCGAGTGTAAGACACTGGCCTTTGGGACAATGGTCACATTCGCCTAAAAGGCACTGGCGCGATGGCAGGTTGCAAATGAACGCCCAGTTCAATTCCGCTGCGTCAAGTTGTGAGCCAGCGGCCGTTTGTAGAGAGGCGACAAAGAGGTTATAGTTTGCGCAGTACACACAAACGCACGCTTCTTGCTGGGGATTGCATTTAACCCATCGGGGTCGCAGGGAGTAAAACTTCTTCAATCCGATGCCGGAGTCGGGATGGTCACTTTTATATACACGAAACGCTTCTCTGATTGACCGTGTCATAAAACGTTTCGGCTTGAACGTTTTCTGGCCTTCGAGCACAACGGAAATGACGTCCTTCTGATTGGGACTCCTGCCTAGAACACCCTAACTCGTCTTTCATGTAGAACTACAGCCGCTGCAGATATGTTTTCAGGGCTCACCTTTCACCTTGTATAGGGATCGGGCACATACCACACGCCGCGGTTCCCTGAGCTTCCGGGACCTATTAATGATGCAGATCGATGACTCTGGGATAAATTTCTGGACTTCATTTCTTGTCAAGATTGATGGCAGGAGGGTCAGCAATTGACAGCGTTCCCGTGGAGAGGCTGTGGTCGCAAAGGCGTGGCAAATGTTGTCCGCCCACTCGGTGCATGTGGAGCACTTTTGCTCCAACGACCCCGATGCCACGTTTATATATATATATATATATATATATATATATATATATATATATAGATATATAGATATATATATTT